CTCCTGGGGTGTCTGCATCAGGAAGCTCCTGAACACACGATCTGTTCTGTGGACACAGTTGCTCCTTCCCTGGGCTCCACACTTGGTAGGGTCTCAGGATCAGCACTTCTTGGTCATGACCCTGCAGGGAAGCAGCATAATCCAGTAAGTGCAGAGGGGGCCTTGGATGTGGGAAGGACTGGGGAAGTAGTGATACCTCAGCACAGGGACAAACACCACAGAGTCGCCAGGTGGGAGGACACCAGCGTGCAGCTTCAACCTTGGACACTGTAGGGTTCAAGCTTTTGTTTCAGGTGGGGAGATCAGAAATTCAAAATGTGCTCTCCATCCACACTCGTTCTAATTCACACAGAAATCTCACCCACAACAGTACAAAATGGGTCCTTCAAGAGTGTTTTCTGAGGTTTAGAAAAGGACTAAAGTTGATGATGTAAGGATGATGATGAGGATGACAGAAGCCAGAGCACCAAGAACTGAGGTGCAGGGCATCCCAGGCTCAGGAGCTGAGCAAGGTGCTCTGTGTCATTTCATGTGCACCTTCTCACCTTTGTTATATATGTCCACGTTATTACTATAGTATACAAAATGAAAAAGTGCATTACAATTATGTAACTTGTACTCATTTGTTAGATAGGAGTGAAGCCTTGTTTGCATTGGGCTGTCTGACCATGGACACAGGGTATCACAGAATCCTGGCAGGCTGTCCCATCAGCAAGCCACCCAGCCATTCCTCTTCTCTGTCACTGCAGAAAGAGCCGTTCCCACTGTGCTCTTTCTCGTGGGATTCCGGTGATCACAGGGCAGATCAGTGGTGGTGCCTGTTGCATGCACTATGGAGGAACAGCCACAGGTCACAGGAGAGGTCACAGTAGAGGAGGCTGATGATCATTCAGCACAGATCATGCTCTTGGGCCCCCCTCCAGAACCTCCTCCATGCTTGAAAACAGCCTTCTCAATCTCAAAGCAGTCATAAGGCAGTTTTGTAAAGGAAAACCGTATGGTAGATGATTATGACATGAAAACAGCAACAGAAAATCATAGCTCACCACTTCAAGACAGTAGGTGTGTCTGGGAGACAGGTTTTCGAGATAATGGAAAAAAGCAGAGATTCTAAGACTCAAATTTCTAAGGTAATGATTCAGACGTCTCTCCAATGTTAATTCTCCCACAAGTATTATCAGATTGAAGTTTCAATACAGGTAAGGGGTATTATGGACAATAAGGGTAGGTAATATTCATGGAGCATGTCCACATGCCAGGATATTGTTAGACATTGGATTTCAGGTGTGGTATAAGAAAATAACTTTACGTGTGGATATGCTGCTAAAATTGGTGTTGGTCTGACATCACTGAGTATGGATATTCTAAAATATGTACA